TGAGTGAGACAGCAATCTCGTGTTTTGTGCATCTATTTTGTGGAACATAGAGATTGCTACAGTATGATTGTGTCAGTGATTTGTTTTCATTGGGAAAATTTTCCGCTATGAAGTTTTTTTTCCCGATGAAAACAATTTGCGTATACGTATACGTGACGTAGTGTGCGTCCGATAAACGTCAGCAATCTCTATGCTTTTATACTAGTTTCGTTGACATTTATACTGTGTCACTGCTGTTCAAGAGAGTCGATTCACTACAATCCCAATCTGCTTGTCGCCGAAACGATGGCACGAAAGAGAATTGAAAAAGATGGGACTCAAACAACTGTTTGGTCGCTCATCTACCGGTGTAGTTCAGTTTAATGCTGAACTAAAGAGAATAATCTTTAAAAAAATACTGTCAGAAGTTTCAGAGGGGCGTAAAGATGCAGAAAAGCATGCGAGTATTGATAAATTAAAATATATTGTAGAAAATTTTGTGAAATCCAGGTTATAGAACTTTGTACATACTAATTATAATTCCGTATCATGCGTGAGCATTACCGACGCAGTAAAATAAAAATTGTACACAAGCGGCTCAGTTAAGAAAACTACACCAACGTCATTGATAGGCAATCAAAAGCTTGTTCCCGTGGCGCCGTGGTGAAAGCCAATAAAATGATAATGATTTCTAAATGTTGCACTGCGAGGTTTTGATAAAAAAATGATTGAACTATGGGGGATAGTCGGAATCTATTTATTTCAACTACAAGCCATTTAGCTAAAATTGAAAAGGGAAATTTTTGTCTTATATTGTGCGTTCATGGAACGTCTTAAGTTTCTTCTCTCACTGTACATATTATATATATATAAAAGAAAATTGGTACATAAATGCATTCTTAATTGTTTATCCTATACCAGTGTAAAATTTTAAATCATCATCGTTCTGCTGATAGCCACGGTGGCTGTGTTTTATTTTCTATGTAGGATGTCAACTAATTTGATAGAGGTAATAGGTGATGTCAAGGTGATGATCTAAATCAGGCTTGTAATTGCTCATTACAGCTAAAATGCTATTTTTCGTAATTATGAAACAATGAGATACTATAATGATAATTTTTATTTGTAAGATGCAAGAGGAGGTGGTAAAGTTTGTCTATGACATATAAAATTTTTCAATTTTGCTTTCATACTCAAAAGGAAAACTAAAAATAATCCTATTTTTTTCGCTATTGCAAAGCCCCTTGAAGATTTTAATGCTGGTATAATGATTTTGACATTTCGTTGCCTGCTTATACTACAAAGAAATACCGAATAGGGGTCAACTTTTTTTTCGGAGTTCCATATATGTTATGTGCTGAAATCCAATCCAGGTGGATACGAATCACAGTCCGATATCATGGGCGGATTGCAGTCAGCATCAAGTCGTAAGATGAATGGCTTATGATGATGATCGATATCCAGTAGAGGGACCGGAGGCTCAAGAAGGTTAACGTTATCCGGATCACTGATGAAAGCTAAGTCAAGCAGTCTTCCATTCAAATTAGACAGTGAATTGACTTGGATTAGCCCGCTAGCGAGCATCGGTTCCGTGAGAGCCAGTTCCTTTTCAGTGGACGCGTTTGATGGTAAATAACCGTTCACGTCCTCGTCGAAAGTCCAACTCAGGAACGGAAGGTTGTGGTCACCCATTGCCAAGATGATATCGGCGTTCGAAGATCTCTCAAAGATAGTCTGTTGTGCAGTAGTGTGATACGTGTATAAATCCGGGCTGGAGAGAGGACGGAGATAGATTCCGGTGATGAATAGCGAGCGGTGCTGCAGAGTGATGCGCACAGCAACTTGCAACAGACGGTCGCAATTCTCGAGCGAAACTGATGTGCATGAGTGCTTGGATTTTATCGCAATAAGTACACTGCCGCCTCTGGAAAGCTGACTGGTAGCTCGATTACGGTCGCAGCGAAAGAAATGATAATCTAACGATAGCTCACAGTCCTGAATGTCCGCTCGAAGCCAGGTTTCGGTGGGAACCAGAACGTCGTAGTCGCATGTTGAAAGCATTAGGCGGAGCTCGGTTGTCTTCGTTCGTAAACCTCTTAAGTTTTGGTAGTAAATGGTGAAGATATGATCAATTTGACTGCGAGGGTATGTGCATGCGCTGTTGCTGACATCGTTGGATAATGAGCTGGAATCCACGAAACTATCAGAGCGGGCTTGTTGGCTACTTGGGGAGCTTAACATTATAAAAATCTAAAATATAATCCTAAAGATAAACATTTAAATAGTACTTTGACTATATGTTTTTGTATAACTTCTACGTGAAGTCAACAATTTACATAGTTGAAGATGCTAATTTCAAATAACAGACTGTAGTGGTATTTTTTATACGATATATGGAGTAGATGAAAGGATAGAGTTGGTAGTTCCGTTAGAGTACGGCAGTGTGAAGATTGCATATAGATATTAGAATAGCGAGCTAGGACAACTTTTAAGGAAGGTTTGGTAAAGAGAGATGAAAAAACGATTTGTGCCTTCCTTAAAAGTTGTCCTAGCTCGCTACTCTAATATCTATATAAAAAATTCACACTGCCGTACTCTAACGGAACTACCAACTCTATGCTTTCATCTACTCCATCTATCGTATAAAAAATTACCACTACAGTCTGTTATTTGAAATTAGCATCTTCAATTACATTTAAATAGGTTCCTACGGCTAAACAAATACTGATAACTACAAGCAAATTCTGCTGTTACCGTTGGTAATTGAGGATTTGTACCAAAATCCAAGAATTTCTGCTTAAACTAAATTTAACCCTACAAATTTACTAAACTACGAGGATTGTTGGATAAAATTTATATTGGTTAAACGGCGAGAATCACTAAAAGTAAGCCTTATATGACCTAGGAATGAAGAATTAAGATGTCCCCAAATGTAGGGTTCTGGTGGAATCTATATGATTTTCTTGTGAAGTGGGCGTTAAATTAACATAGTTGACGTTAAGTACCTAATTACATCTTTCACTAACATATCAATCAATTTATTACTCAGACCTTTCAATAGTTGCATCTTTTACCTCTTAAATCGTCTACATTTTCGAAATGTTGATGATTTCACCACCTAAAACGCCAATTGCTCAGTTTACTCCGAATATTAGAAGAGCTTGTTGACATACTAGGGCTTCTTGATACTTGCGTACAGAAGCATATTAGGACACTGCCCTTTTCCGAACAGAAAACCCCATGCAATCCCATCGATCTAAATTGTAAAAAAAAAACCACTGAACGACGTTGATTGGAATCCAACCAACGAAAACAATTCCCGCCATCTGCTACAAACCAACTTGCGGTTTCCGTAGCTGGAGGGTGGCAAGCAATCGATTCTAAACGGATTTTTTTCCCTCCATTCTGTTAACTGGACTAACCGAATACCTACCATGATCGAAATTTGTTTCCCCTTTTACCAATCGGTGTCCAATCGTTAGCTTGCAGAAATCGGCGAAAGATGAATATGAATCCGTTCAATGTCCAGTTTTCTCGAACGTTTGCTTTTTTTTTCGAGATATGAGAAGCGATTTTCGGGTCTCACAGGTTACCGTCAGCTGATGAAACACTGCTGCAGGCTACGAATTAAAAAAAAAAAAAACTTCTCGTTCCAAGCTAGAAATTCGTCGGCGTGTAGGGTGAAGATCTGGAGCAGGAATGGCACGACGAAATATGTACCTTTGCCCAATTGCCTGAAGTGGACGCTATTGACTGTAGCTGCAAAAAAAGTAGCACGGCGAAACTGCCAAATGACCGGTATCCGAGTTCTATTCCTAAACCGGCGAAGCGAACAGCGAAAGTTCGTTTGCAAATGCATGTGTGGTACGTACTTTTGGCCAATGGGGGAATCGTATTCCTACAGTAGGTACTGTAGCAGTAGACTAGTTGTAGCAGGGTTAAATTGATATTTAATGACCGGAAATAATTCGAAAAGTTCAATATCGGATCCAAACTGATGCTGCTGCTGGAAGATGAGAGTTTCGGGGGAAATTTTGAGCTATTTGAAAAGTTGTTGTCGGTTATGGTGGACTGGCGTATGGAACGGTGGATTGTGGTGGAAAACCTATGTTTTATGTTTTGACGTAGGACTACGTCTTTGTGGAGTATACTGGGGTGCAAATCAGACTAAATTTCCCCGTGTTACTGTGGTACTGTCATCAATTCAGTTTAATCATAAGTACCTGTTCAGGTGTAAATAAACTTATTAAATTATTTGCTTCACGCAAGTTCTTACTCACTTTCTTCACTCGGAAAATCTTCTTAGTACAATGTGAAATCCTCAAAAAAGTTTAAGCATCCAAAATTGTTCCAAATCGTACAATGTTGCTTTCAGAACTTCGAAGCAATTGCACTCCTGCATGCCATATTATCTGCTGAAGGGAAATTCCATTCAAACAAGTCTCATGCAAAAGCCATTTTGTCGTCATTCTGTATTTTAATTCTGTTTATTTCGTTGCACAAAATTTAATTAAACCTAGTCGCACTGAAGGCTGGCGAATCGTGTCTTGGGGTGCCGTGCAAGCAACAACGCTTGCAAGTGAAGGAAACCCCGGCAAGGGAAGGTGGCTTTGTTTAATTTTCTACTCAGCTATTCTTCATAGAAATTCGCCTTTCGAGTAAGAATGAGAAAGAGAAAAAAAAAGCGTGGAAATGGCTGATTTGTGTCGAGTGGGAACGTGTTTTTTCCTCTGTTGTTATTGTGCTTCACTGCTGTTGCTACTGCATTAGTCAGTCGCTTGTTTAATTTGGTTGTTTTGCATCGTTTGTGACGAGTGCCACGTGATTGCAGCAGTTTGTTCTCTGCTGTGAACTAGATTTGTTTTTTCCTATCGTTGAGGAACGCTTTCATCAGAATCGAGCACGAAATTCTTGATTTCCATTGAAAGTTCCAGGATCGTTAGGAGTGAATGCCGAGTGGAGAATTTATTTTAATTGGATTAAGAAACACAACACTGACAGGCTCATAACAATGCGCTTACCACGAGGTTGTTGAGTGTCAACTTTAGGTCCGCTCGGGGTCGGGAAGGTGGTGAACTGCAGTTTGCTCGCAGGACATCGCCGGCCTCGTAGCGACTGTGTTCCGTCCACAAGGTGGGACCACTTTCGGGCAGTTCTGAAATGAAAGAAATTTAATTGGATAATGCTTTAATCTGGCTGCTCAACGAAATGTGGATTCCGATAGGCTTTCGAAAATCGGAAATGGCTTTTGGGGGGATTCAGTCGGTTTGATTGCAGATTGTGAAATTCAACCAGATTGCACCGAAAAATAAATAAAATTGCAACAGATTTCCATAGTCACTCCGAACCGAATTCAATTTCGTAGGACACCACCTAGAAACGACTACTGCTAGAGACGACGAAAAAACCACAAACGATAAAATACGATTTGTGTGCCAGTAGATGCAGTACCAGCTTTGATAACCGGAGCAGTGCTCTTTTCTCTAGACCGGTTGCTTGCACTGTGGCTATTCAATGTTGACCCACTTCACCTGCATCTTTCTTTGCAATGGAACAAAGTGTCTCTTCTCTAGTTGCTGCTCCAAGTTGGTCCCACGTGTTGGATAGTGATCAAGCTCCCCACTTACATAACCTTTCTCATTCACCCCTCAGATGACATGGGGGACCCGAAAAAAAAAAGTGGTTCCAACCAATTCTTTCTGCCAAAAGGCAAGAGGATTCTTTCTTCAGAAGTGGTTCCAGATTGCATACATCGTTGCGGGAGGAGGGAGGCTTACACTGATAGGCAAAATAAAGTGCCCACCCCATCATTTTTGAAATTTCTCTCATTTATTTGGTTCAAATTCAAATAAACACACCGTAGTCTGTTTCGATGTCTTACCTTTATTATTCTTTTAAAGTTACACCTATGGAATACTGAAAATATAAAGTTTTACTTGAAGTAAAAGAAAATCAATTTGGATTGAAAAAGAAAACAGTGACAAAAAAAAGTGCCCACTTCAAAAATCGGTATGTTTTCGATAAGTTTCCATCGGAAAACCCCTCGATTGTTTTTGTTTTGAAAGTTTGACATGTATTGAAGCAAACGGGTGGAACTGGTGCATTTGTACACGTGATCGCATTTGAATCAGTTGAAAAAAATGGAGGACGTAGTGATTTCGAAAGCAATTCCCGTGTGTATCCGAAAATTGGTTGTTCGTGATGTGCAAAACGGTGAATCGCACCGGTCTGTCGCTAGGAAGTACAATATCAGCAAAACAGCGGTCGGGAAAATTCTGCAGAAAATGAAATCGTTCGGATCAGTGGTGGATCGCCCTGGCAGAGGCAGGATGCGCAAAACGGATGCGAGAACGGACACCAAGATCATGCGTGAAGTGAAGAAGAACCCGAAGGTAACTGTCCGCGAGATCCAGGAGGCTCTTCAGCTAACAGTTTCCAGTCGAACTGTTCGTCGCCGTCTCGTAGCACAGGGGTTGAACAGCAAAGTTGCTCGGAAGCGCCCATTTATCAGCAAGGCAAACAAAGTCAAACGGCTTAAGTTTGCTAAGGAGCATGCTGATAAGCCCCTAGAGTTCTGGAAAACGGTTCTCTGGACGGACGAATCAAAATTCGAACTGTTCAACCGGAAGCGACGGGTTCGTGTGTGGTGTAGATCGGGTGAGGAGCTTCAGGAGCGCCACATACAAGGCACGGTGAAGCATGGAGGAGGAAATGTGATGGTCTGGGGGTGCTTTTCGTGGGGTGGAGTGGGAAGCCTGGTGAAAATCGACGGGATAATGACGGCAGATTCCTACATCGACATCCTGCGGGAAAATCTGGAAGTTTCGCTGATCCAGACGGGCCTTGAGGAGAAATTCGTATTCCAGCAGGACAACGATCCGAAGCATACTGCCAAGAAGACTAAGTCTTTCTTCCGGTCATGTCGAATTAAACCACTGGAATGGCCTCCACAAAGCCCGGACCTCAACCCCATCGAGAATTTGTGGGCGATTCTCGATGCCAGGGTTGACAAAACTGGTGTTACCAATAAAAATAACTATTTTGAAGCCCTGGAGCGCGCCTGGGAAGAACTAGATCCACAGCACCTGAAGAATCTAGTGGAGAGCATGCCGAAGCGCCTGCAGCTGGTCCTGAAGGCCAAAGGAGGACACATTAACTATTAGGCTGGTATTCTTTTACTTTATTTTATGTTTTCTGGAGTTAAAATGCAGTGGGCACTTTTTTTTGTCACTGTTCTTTTTTACACCCATTTTGATTTTTTTTTCTTCGAGTCAGTCTCTTCTTTTTATCTGGTATTCTATAAGTGAAACTTAAAAAGAATATAAAGAATAAGATATAAAAAATACTACAGTGTATTTACTTTAATTTGAACCAAATAAATGAGAGAAATTCAAAAAATGATGGGGTGGGCACTTTATTTTGCCTATCAGTGTACGATGTGGTTGCATCAAACCTGATCCGGTTTCCGATTTATGACACAATCTTGCACATTGGGAACCAAAGTGGAAGCAGAAGAATCAATATCCTTCTTCAGTATCTTTGCAAGCGGCACAAGGGACTGCGGGTTCGGTTACCTTTGTTGGACGCTTTTGGATGGGGATTACTGATTGGGATACTTGCCAATATTTCGAGAGAAGTCCATATTGCATTTTATCTTTCTGGAAGACAGTGAACTATGGAGCATATTTTTGCATCGGTCAATATTTTGCATAAAGTTATGCAATATGTTTTGGCGGGTGTGAAAACTGTGATTTGTGAAAAACATCGTTACGATGACAAATTCCTTGATCCTTCGGGTCATTTAACAAGCCACGAAGTGATATTTTGGTTCAAATGGGAAGAGGCGGTTAATGTTAGATTTAAATGATGAACAATTTGTAAGCATATGTAAAGCCCGATTCAAAGTAAATTTGGACGCATTCAACTGATCATAACTCAAGAATTAAACAACAGCTTTCAAACGATAAATAACAAGTTATTACATTTTACCGTTTCGAACGAACTGTCGCACTTTACTTGTGATCGATGCCATCATGATCTGCACAGTCACTGGTGACACTGTACCGGCGAACTTATTCCACTTTAAACGCATTTGTTGTGCATTTGTCACTTCTTTACCGCATCCTCGCAGTTTTCGCTTGACAATTGCCCAATATTTTTCGATAGGTCTGAACTCAGGGCAATTCGGAGGATTAATCTCTTTAGCGACGAAATTAACATTGTTTGCAGCATACCATTCTAGTACCTCCTTAGAGTAGTGGCAGCTGGCTAGATCCGGCCAAAACATAACGTTGGTCTTGTGTTGCCGAATGAAGGGTAAAATCCGCTTTTTCAGACACTCTTTAATGTAAACCTTCGACGTCATTGTGTTAGATGTGATGAAAACCTTGGTTTTAAGGCCACAACTGCAGATTCCTTGCCACGACCAATTGCCAGGTAAAATTTTCGTCCGGGGATTTGTTTATAATCCATTTTAACATATGTTTCTTCATCCTTTAAAATACAGCCATCAAATTTCGTCAAAACTCGTTCGTATAGTAACCGTGCTCGCTTTTTGGCCACTAAATTTTGTTTTAGGGAGCGATTTGGATGTTTACTGGCACAAAAAGACTTATATCCTTCTCTTGAAAGGATGTTACGTACGGTGGAAAAGTTGGAATCTTTTTTTTTTTTTTTAACTTTATTAGAGAGATTTTTAGCCGTTGGCTAGTTCATCTCTATAAAATGGGAGGCCCCAGAGGGGGGTTCCGCCAGCAAATTTTGTTACGGAGTTGGCTTACAATTCACATGTACTCAAATAGAAGCAATTAAAACAGATTCCAGTAAAAAGACTAACAATACAACGGAGAAGAAAAAAAAAAAACAATCTGGTACATCAAAGTTAGGTAGGGTTTTGAAAAAGATCGGAGCTCCACCGTAGGATGGGTAATCCCCCGTCCTGTAGAGATGTACCGTCAGCCAAAACAAAGTTAAAAGGACCTAAATGTTGTTGTATAACCCAGCGTCCTTGAGGAAATAAATAACTGCCGCTAAAGTGGAAGGTTCGTCGCCCAGTATGTCCCTAATGCTGTTGGGAAGTGCGTACTGCTCCCTTAGTTGTTGGTATTGCGGACACAGGCATAGGATGTGTTCCACCGATGCAGTGGTTCCGCAAACGTAGCACATTCTGTGGAACTGCGTCCCACCAAAACTATGTGAGATCCTTGTATGGCCTGTCCTAAGACGAGAAACCACCTTCTGGTCCCGTAGTTTCGACATATCCGTCCACTTGCTCGTCGTTCCTTTGATTCTTCGGATGAAGAGGGATTGGGATTGGCACCACTCTGCTTCCCAGGCTTCCCACATTTTGCTGACTATCCATCGCTTTATGTCCTGTAGTGGCACTTCGTCGGTGTAACGGGGGCCAGCTGGTCCAGACCCTGCCAGGCTGTCGGCTTCGCTGTTGCCTGGGATACCGCAGTGCCCAGGGATCCAGGAAAACACCGTGTTGGGAGGTGTGGCCTCCACAATACCCTGTATCCAGGGGTGAGTCATGGTCTCCGATGTAAGGGCTTGTATCACGCTGTACGAATCGGATAGCACCAGTATGGGCCGGTCCGAGGGTGTTGTAACGGCAACAAAGATGGCCGCAGCTTCAGCGGAGAAAACCGAGCTTTGTGGTGGTAGGCTGCTACTCATCGGTGCTGAAATTCCGGCTACTCCAATTCCGACCCCGGCTCGGGAAAGCGATCTGTCTGTGTATATGTGGACATGGGTTGGATAGTCAGAGCCTAGAAGTTCGGCTATTGTTCTCTTCAGCGCTGCAGAGTTATCTCCAGCCTTGAACCTGCTTTTTATCCGACTATCGATTTTTGGTGGAGGTATGCGCCAACTTTTGTCTCCGTACCAGTGGACTTTGGCCGAATTGGCAGTCATGCAGAGGAGTCTGTTCCCCTCATCGAGGAGAAAGATCCTTTCATTTTCGGAGGTCATTGCGGTAAAGGCAGCGGCTTTCGTTGCAATTGCTGCGGTTATACGATGGCGGAAGGGCAGAATACCCGCTTCGATGCATGCGGCATCGGCGGGCGTTGACGGAAGAAGACCGGAGACAATCCGAACGTAGGTGTTAAAAGTTGGTGCTAGTATCTGCACGAGCTTTTCGGTGGCGATGTACGT